AAAAAATGGAGAAATACTTTACAGTATTTCATTGCATCACTTTATCTGATGTCCTCCCCCCGCAAGAAATACCAACTGAAGTAAATGAATAATGTTGAACTCATTATTATTTTTGCATCCGTATTCATAAACGAAAGACTACGAACATCGACCATGACGTCAATTTGAATTAAATGAAACAGGACATTTATTGTTGTTATTCTGAAGAGCACTTTAAAATGCATTAAGTAAACTGGAATAAATCAAGAAAATAAACCTCTACTATGTTTTCTTTGTCAAACGCTCTAAAATAACAATCAAGACAGATTTTAGAATTACTACATAACTTATTGTTACGAATTTGAAGCTGCATATACGGCGATGTATTTAAGACTATTTAAATAATAACATATAAGCTGGAGACATTGTTTGTTAATTTTCAATTCAGTCAATCACGTGAGCTGTACTTTACGGTATTATAGGGTTTTTCATAAAATATAATTCTAAAATTTCATTTTAGTGAATAAAGGACATTTATATTATTTATACTTAATAGTGAAAATTAGCAATTTATTTCGTTTATGTAAAGTAAGAATGATGAATAAAATGGAATTATCGGTAGATATTGTACTTGTTTGAATAATAGTTATATCAAGAAATCGCCGGTTGAATTAGAAATCTCATGGTATAAAAGTGTATATAACATTGTTGTTTAATGACACGTTTCTTTTAATAATTACCGGTAACATTTGGTTTAATGAAGTAGATTTCGTCAACAAGGCAGATGCTTCCAGCTAAAAATTTCTTTTTGATATATCTTAAGTTCTACTTTGATAAGAAACGTTTCATAACATATGTATTCAGTAGTCAAAGCAACTCCGCCTGTAGCTCTCCCAGAGCTACAGATGACCATCTACCTGGTGGTTGTCAAGATGAAAGTGAGGCTAAAAAAGCATTGAACAACTGGGGAAATAACATTGCAAAGTTCCAATACGACCTTCATTCGAGATATTGACAAACTCAACGAATTCAAAGTAACCCTCAGCAACACGTTCCAAGCGTTACAGTATTTACTCAAAAAAAGAGAAACCGCTGTGGAGGACAGGTGGGAAGGGATCAAAGTGGCCCTAACTTCGACGTGTCAGGAGGTTCTAGAACGCATGAAGCATCATTATAAGGACTGGATTTGTATGGAAACTCTAGGCAGGATTCAACAAAGGAAGAGCAGAAAGATAGCAGTTAACAACAGAAGAACAAGAACAGTGGAAGTCAGTGCACAAGCTGAATACACAGAAGCAAACAGGTAATTGAAGAAGAGCATTAGAGCTGACAAGCGGAAATATATGGAAGACCCAACAACGACAGCGGAAAAAGGCTGAAACAGAAGGAAATATGAGACAACTATGTGATACAATTGGGAAACTAGCGGTGAAATATAGTAAAGCAGAGAGACCGGTCAAAGACAAAAACAGAAAGCCAGTCACTGAGATTATAGAAAAGAGGAACATGTGCGTGGAACATTTTGAGGACCTCTTGAAAATATTAGTAACACTGGAACCACCGGACATCGAAGCAGCACCTACAGACCTTCCTATAAATGTCACTTCACCAATGATCGAAGGAATCAGGATGGCCAGTCATCAAATAAATCAACGGTGGTAAAGCAGCGTGACTTAACAATATACCAGCCGAGGCACTGAAGTCAGACATTCAAGTGCAAACGTGATCTACGTTTTATTTTGGAGAATTTGAGAGGATGAACAAGTGTCGACAAACTGGAGAGGAGGATGCCTCATCAAGATACCAAAGAAAGGAGATCTGAGCAAGTGTGAGAACTACAGAGGCATCACACTACTATCGGTACCAGGAAACGTTTTCAATAGAGTGTTGCTGAACCGGATGAAAGACGCAGTAGACGCCCAACTTTGAGATCAACGAAGCTGAAACTTGACGGACTACTACAACATTCATCAAGATATGACAAGTATTTAGAAACAATTTTCTACGTAAGAAACTCAATGTCCATTGACCGGATACCATCAGCAACAGCCTATAGTGGGAGAGAGCAAACCAGGAAACTAAGAGAAGACGTTGAAGATGGATAGGACATATATTACAAAAATCATTAAACCGCATCACGGAGTGGGTGCTAACTTGGGATCCCGAACAGAAAGGAGGAATGCCAAAGAACACGGTGCTACGAGAATTGGAAACAGACATCGAAACGATGAATTGTAACTGGAAAGAACTGGAAAGTATCGTCCAGGACAGAGTTGGACGAAGAATGCTTGTGAGCGGCCTGTGCTCCTCCTCGAGGCGTAATATGAGTAAGTAATTAAAGCCTTTTTGTTGAATTTTAGATCTATATAAATTAATTATTGTCAAATGTAAGTATTGGGTGATAGTTTTAGTTGAGCCAGGAGAAAAGTGAGACAGGCAGAGTAACAGAGACGCTAATCCGTTCATACGAAATTTAAGTATTCAAAGTCTAATTTAATTTATAAGTGTTAGTAACTTTCATAACTGTCACGCCTACTCAGCGAAAGTCATCACTGAAAAACTAGAACAATACTTTCTTTAAAAAAATATTCTAAAAAGTATTTATGTCTTACCAACGTCTTTACATATTAAATACACGCTTGGTTAGGTCACTTAAAAAAAGTCTCAATTGCGTTTTGAATGTTTAATTTCTTTCAGTTATGCGGTGCATGCACATGTTTGCATGTGTGATGGTCAGAATTACGGAAATAAACAGTTTATGTCCAACTATCATTATTATATTTAATAAACAATTGGCTAATGTTTCTGGATATTTGCATAGGAATAAGTGTTACTAAACTAATTCTCTATGTTTTCATTATTAAAATTAGGCTGATAATAATATTCACAACAATATAAGCTACTTAAACTCGTTATTTCATGTTCTCGTGAAATATTTCTCTTCACTTTTTCTCCTTCTATTTCGTTTACTTCTCATCAGCTGTTAGTATTCTGTTTTTACCAAGTTAAAATTTGTACATTTGTTTTTCTTCCTTCTTTAAACTGGTACTGACATTGGTAGGATTCAAGGAAATTTTGAATGAAATTAGCTATTACTACTAATCTCATCATATTTATAAATATTAAGCGAACTTACTTAATCGTTTATTATTAAACAAACATTTCTGTTGAACTGTTTTTTTATTTATTAATATTTATATGCGCACTGCTGTGGAGTCCGATACTGAGATAAAATAATCGTCCAGTGCTTCCAAGTTTTCAATGTTGGTCTAACATTGATTCATTCATAATATGAATCTAAACTCAACATTCTCCACAACCCTATACTGATAATATTTATATATTTTAAGATTTATTTTACAATAAACTGACATTAAGTGTTTATCATCAAAATACTAGTTTAGAATTGAATTATAAGAATATAGTAGATGGGAAACAGTAACCTCAGTTGGGAAATGAAATTTTTCTACTTTACAAACACTATAACACTAAAAAGAATTATTTTCAATAAGATAACTGTATATCCTTTTAACATGTCAACTTTAATAGTTGAGATCATGAGTCGATTGAAGCTAGACCACCGTGGAAAACCTGAAAGCCGTTTCGTCTTAATATGAAACTCTTCATCAGTGCGTATCCACGATCCCGCCCACCGCGAGATCCGAAACCAGGACCTGTCAGTCTCGCGCCCAATCACCTAACCACCAAACCACTGAGTCGGCTTCCAGCGGTGTTAATATCTAACCTCAACCAGTCCACGAAGTTGCGCCACCGTTAACCATTGTCATTAATGAGTTGCTATCTCACAACAGACCTGGTTGAGCTTCACTGGTCACTAGAACTCCATGAAATACCTCTTGAAGCCAGTCACTAGTGAGCATATGTTGATTAGTATCAGAAAGAATTTTATGGATATTATAGTATTTTTTATAGTTGAGATCATCAGTCAATTGAAGCTCAATTTTAGACGATTTCGATATTATCTGTATGTTACATAAACTGGGGAAGAAAATACTCAAATCTTCTCGTGTTTTTTTAAACATAAACTGAAATGAACATGGAATCTATTTTATCAATGATCTTGATATCAAAATGATATTCTAAATATTGTGAATATTCAAGCTAATTTTCAAAATTACTTTCATTTAAATTTGTTTATATTACTCACAGAGTTAATGATTGTTTAAATTAATCATTTAAAAATGTAATTACAAAACTGTCAATGTCTAATATTAGTGTATGTGTGAAATAATTCGAAATTGTAAGTTTATAGATGATTTATTGGATGTGAATTTTCACTATTAATGTAAATGTTTGGTTAAAGTGTTAGTTATCTTTCAACTTCACATTTTCACATTCTTCCTAGTACTTCAGTTCATGCTTCATATGTGCTCATTTTTGTTTTAGTGTTTTCAACAAGAATATAATCAAATATTTGATGTTCTGTTCTCTTCTCTATTCCTTGTTAATTTAATAAAACACTTACATAATTGTTGCGATACGAAATTTTAGGTAATCGATTATTCATTTAATAATTCTTTAGTAAAACTTCAGAGTATGTACTATGTGATATGGTTTCGACTGCTTAGTAATTAGTATCGTCTTTAACATTGAACATATATGTTATTAGTAGTCCTTGAATGGTATGAAACCTTGTACCTAAAACTTTCATCAATTGTCTCCAATAAACTAACTTGAAACAAATGGCACTAATATATATCAAGCCAGTTATTCTAACAGTTATGAACTGACGAGGACCTTTTACTACTCATTTAGAGATTAAAGGTTTAATTTATTATATATTCACTATATAATGAAGTGGATGTGCAACAAACTACTCACGAGTATTCCGTACCTAATATACAACTTTTTAGTTACAGATTCATGCCAATAAACGTACAGTTGTAAATTGGTGTTGATATACTTTAAAGAAGATAGAAATATTTAAGGGAAGAATATCGGTGCAAAATAACTTATACACATTTTCTACTACATTTTTCTTCTTTTTACATGTTTTTCAGGGCAACTGGAGCTACCTTAGGTGTGTTGGCTATATTACTTGTTTTATTCCTATTACTTTTGTGTCTTCCATGGCATAAGTGTGATCGATACTGTTCTTGCTGTCGTTGTTGGCTTTTTAGTTCAAATGAGAATATTCACAGACAGTCAGATGATGCATTTCGTGCAGCCAGAATGCCTGGAGAGTACCGTGAGTTTCTTGTTCCATAGCATACAGTAGGTGTTGTTTTCCGTATTCTTTGGTTAACTATGCTTTTTCTTTAACAGAGAAGAACATAACCTTTGGATTAGCAAACAGTAGTCTTTTACTGAATAACTGGGGCAACTATTCATGAATTTGAGCACTCACAATTGTTTCACCCAAGTCAATCTATCTGACAAGCCTCAAATATTATAGAACATGTATCCTGTATTTCATTGTATAGTACTAAACAATAATCTCTTGTACGAAAGATACCATTTACGTTCCATATATTTTGGGAAATATTAATATTTGAAACGATTTTTAAGTTTAAATGAGGTTACCCTATTCTTATAATTCTTAACAGATGATGTTGAAATAATCTATCTACTTATGAGTAGTCAACAGAGTTAATCACAGTGGATTTCATTTTAGCATATAATTTGTAACATTCAATCTTTTACAGAATTTCATCTAGGTTGTAGGTATCTTGTATGCTGGATAAGTATGAAGAGCAGTATGTGTGAAAGGATTTATATGAGAAACACGGGATGAGAAATGACAAGACAACTAAGTTAACACATATATTATGCACTTATGTTTCATAATGAAAATAATTGATAAAATTTGATAATAACATAGGCGTAAGATAAAAACAATCTGATAATGGGGAGCTAGAATTTGATAGCATAAGATTGAAGATTAAATACAGTTAATTCACATGAGTGAAATGAAATATGATAATTAAAACAGAAGAATAACCCTTTGAATTCCAAATGTTATCAAACAATAACTTGCATTATTTTTGAAATAAAATATTATAGAATAGATCACTTTTTGTATCACTAGTTTCCTGGGTAAACTGAATAACTTTTTATACTTGAACTGTGATTACTTACAATCAAAAATGATTATGCAGACTTTGATTGTATATAAAGATGTTTTAGTTAGGTTACATGAAGCATACCATTAAAAAGCGACAGAATTTTGTTTACTTGTTTCGAGTGTAACTTCGCAGACAACTATCTCATGTTTTGATAGCCATTATTTTTTCTAACAGTTTAAAAATTCACATAACTGTGCAAATGATCTTCATCAGATTCTATCATGATACATCCAAAATAATGATTTACAAGAATCGTTGAATTTACGGCAAATTTATTCTCTTTTTTTTTAATTTGTTTAATACACTGAAGTTATATAGTTAAAACACAATCGGTGAACATTTTATTTATATGAATGAATGAATATCAATAGCTAAGGGTCAAATATTCACTATTGTGTTACATAATATTTTTTTGTTTATCGAAAAGAATTTACAAGTTATACTATTCAAACATTAAAATCGTTGTCATTAGGCGCTACATAGGTTTGTATAGGATATTTTTATGTATTATATGTAAATTTATTATATATAAAACTGAATTTTCTGATCAATAATCTATTTTCTTGGTAGTTAAGTAGATATTATTCATTATGGAAATGCGTTCTAGTGGTTATCATGTGTTACCTAGATATATATTTATGTAACACTTCTGTAAAAGAAATCGTCCATTCACTGTAACTGTATAAAGTGAAACATTTCAATAATGAAACGAGATACCAGTGAATTATATGTATATTTCTGGTTAGTGAATTAGTGTTCTAAGGGGTAGAGTCGATAACCCCATGCCCAACCCTCTCCCTTTATCAGGGCTTGGGACTGGTAGTAGCCAGAGAGGGGCTCCAGGCGGAGAAGTCAAAATATGGGGGCGGGAAGTATGGTATACAATGGACAGAGAGGATGCAGCTGAACAATCTAGACTTCACTGATTATCTGGATCTTCTATCGCACACACAACAACAAATGCAGGAGAAGACGACCAGTGTAGCAGCAGTAGGTTTCAACATGCACAAAGGGGAAAGCAACATTCTCCGATACAATCCAGCATGCACCAATCCAATAAAAATTGATGGAGAAAATTTGTAAATATCTGGCCAGCATGATTGATGAACACAGTAGATCTGATGCAGATGTGAAGGCGTGGATCGGAAAAGCAAGAGCAACATATTTACGATTGAAGAACATATGGAAATGAAGACAATTGTCAAACAACAACAAAGTCAGAATTTTCAATACAAATGTCAAGACAGTTCTACTGTATAGAACGGAAACTTGGAGAACTACGAAAGCCATCATCTAGAAGATAAAGGTGTTCATTAACTGTTGTCTACGTAAAATACTTCGGATTCGTTGGTCGGACATTAGTAGCAACAACGTACTGTGGGAGAGAACAAACCAGATCCCAGTGGAGGAAGAAATCAGGAAGAAGCACTGGAAGTGGATAGGACACACATTAAGGAAAACACCCAACTGAGTCACAAGACAAGCCCTCAATTGGTATTCTCAAGGCCAAGGGAAAAGAGGAAGACCAGAGAATACATTACACCGGGAAATGGAGACAGACATGAAAATAATGAACAAAAATTGGATAGAACTGGAAAGGAAGGCCCATGACAGAGTGTGTTGTAGAGGGCTGGTCGGCGGCCTATGCCCCAGTAGGAGTAGCAGGCGTATATAGTTAAGTAATATATATATATATATATATATATATATATATATCAAATTTGATCAGTTCATCATTATTAATTGAGAAATAAAATTTAATCGCTTTTTACTTTCTCTTTTTATCTCCACAGCTATGCCAATGTTTGACTTCATCCCACCATCTGCTTTGCCCAAATTACCAAACTACGAAGAATGTTTAAATACTGGGCCACCAGCGAATGATGAAGCTCCACCTCCGCCAACTCCACTTTCTTTTTATTCAGTTAATTCAAATGGTCAATCAGCTTTACGTCTTACTATCCACAGTCAACCCGATTTAGTTGCTCATAATCGCAGTTCCCAAGCACTTGCTAGTCCTTTATCCACACCTCCACCGACTTATTCGTCAACTTGTTTGCAAAGGCCATCAACGACGAGTCGAACAGGTGAAGATACATCTAGAATAGTTGAGAACTCATCTCATACAACATCAAGGCAATTATCGGTGGACCGTTAATTAATTGTTATCTTAATATTTTTTCTCATTACGGTTTTGTACTCGCAAAATGATGGATTACCTGTCTCTCCCTGTTATACCTTGTACCATTCTTTCAGTTGTGGGCGTTTTGATTTTTTCTTGTTTTAATTACAAATATAGAGATAAAAATATATTTATGTGATCACTGAACAATTATGTTAATATACTACTACAATTTTGGTGAGTAGTTATAAATCTTAGAGATAAAATAATGAGTTCAGATTTTTTTCTAGATATTTTTTTACCAATCTTTCACATTCTTTCTCTTTTGAAATATTTGACATATCAAGGACTTTCTGATAATAAATAACACAAGCATATACTTTTCTGGTTGTCTGCTGTTATATAAGAATATTATATATATTGATAGATATTTGTATCAAACTCTTTTATTCGTTTTAAGAAACAATATTTTCAAATATTTTCTTTATACCATCAGGAAACATATCAAAGCCAATTTCATAACTGTATCTCTGTACGTGTTTAGTGGGGCTCCCTGGACATTTTCTACTACTTGTTGTCGCTTGTCATTAAAATGTAAGGGAGGTTTGTCTAGGATTTATGCTTCATCAAACAGAAATCCCCATGAATATCGGATCTGTAAATGAAATAGTATAGAGCATTTACGTAGGTGGGATCCGACATTTATTGAGATTGGATTATTTCATCACAGGAAAACTACTGAATATGAAGTCTTCTCAAAGAATGTAGTCGTTATTTACAGGTGAAACTCTTTTAAATACCTTCAAAGTTTAAAAACATTTTAGGACAATTCCATGGCTCCTCTTGATATTACGTTACGAGTATCAAGCTGTTTCTCAGTCTCTAAACTTGAGTAACAAAATTTTCAGTTGCGTAAGGAATTTTAGGATCCCAATATCAAATATATATGCTCCTCAATTTAAATACTTTCTCAAGATTTTCAACACTCAAAGCTTGGTCAGAGATACTATCAACACGAAGGTAGACTAATTACGAATTCGGATTTAAATTCTATAGTCTTCAGTCAATTATCTTCATGACAATGTTTATTATGATTGTCTATCTTTTAAGATGCTAGATTAACTGTATCAATTAGATTTACAGTGTACCTGCGATATTTCCATGATTAGAAAACGGACGTTTCCTTACTTCAAACAAGTTATATTTTTATGAGAATAGACAACTTAATAAAGTTACCTTATTATTTGTATATCATCTTTCTTTTACACTATCCAGAATATTCTTTCAATTTTCATCCTTTTTAGGCAAAAGGCTCGGCTTTTTGAAATAAGAAAAACTATTTTGCAAAATTTTGATCTTTTATGTTGGATGATAATCGTTGACATAACAACCATATGTAAATCAGACTAACATTTTCTAAAACTGAAATAGTAAATTTTAATCGTTTTATAATCCAAGACTTTTTAAATGCATACTAATTTGAAATTTTCGAATATACTGAGAGATTTAATCAAATTGATTATGATTTGTGAAGTTAATAATACAGATCAAACGCTTAAGTTCTATGAATGTTGTATTATATGAGATCAATGAATGTTTATGATAGATTTCATGTGATGCTTATTTCTATTGGTAATTTGTAGTGAAATAAAAGTGTAAACTGTCAGAATGATTCAAAGATCGAAGTAATTTATTCTGATCAGTAGCTGAAGTTCAGACTCTAAAGTTAAAATTATTGATAAGAGAAGTTGATCATTCAGTGTAACACCGCTTCTTTGTAATTGTAACAATTTCGGAGTAAAGTTTAATTTGTAGAATATGTGCCTAATGTTAAATCTTCTTACTTATGAACTAATGAAAGGCTATGTACATAATTCATTCCCAAGTGTTAATTAAACTTATAATCTGGTTTAAACTGTAAATTATTATTTAGGGTATTTACTTATCGACTGTTTATACTTAGGATTTAATGAGTCACTGTGTACATCAATATTAGGGTGTACCTACATCTAACTGATTGGTACGGAGTTGAACGAGTTACACTCTGAATCATCTAAACAATAAACTGATCGAGAAAAACTTAATATCTCTGGATTGAAATTTTATTCTGACTGAGCCCTTAACTTCGGTCATAAAAGTCTTTCGGATTTTCTAAATGATATTATTCATATAAGATTGTCTGGAATTTAAGTTTACTAAAAAAATAGTGCATTGAATCTGTTATGACCTTGGATCGCTTTTACCCCGTGATACTTGTTATGACTTGACCTTGACGCGCTAGGCTGAGTGGCTTAACCTTGAGTCTAATACGCGTGAGTTCGATTGGGGGTAGAGAGAACTATTCTAAATCCTGATTGGTTGGCAAGCACGCGAGTGAAAGAAGACAAGACAGTTGGAACACTAAGCTCTGGATTCTCTGAATTCGGATTACTACAAAAATGTACATGAATAAATAAGTGCATATCTTGACCACGACGTACGATAATTTGGAAAAATACAGTTATGCCCGAAACAGGGAATTAGGGTAGAAAATATAGTGCAAAATATAATGTTTAAATTACAATATTTTTGGAACAAAAAAGGGTATGCTAATGAATGATACATAGAACGAAAGCTCGTGTTATGTAGAATAAGATAGGGACAAAAATAAATATAAGTGTTTTACAGGTTTTGAATGAAATGCAATAACGTCCCAAGAAAATAGCTTTCGTAATTGTCTGGGCTTCTTAATTCCCCGTTCGTAACACCTTCCCCCTTAAAAAAAAGAAAAAAAAATATGGTTAGTTACTATATACAGGTAAGTGCTGAGATATCATCATTGATATCTTCCTTCGGAAACGTAAGTTCTCCTCTTTGGGTCTACCTGTAGAATATCTGGTCTTCTGCGTTTCCGTGATGCTTTCCTAATAGGAGCTTGTTCAGGTTGCGTGGTCTTCTGAGTCGCTGAGCATTTTATGTCAAAACTGTCCAGAATGATTCTCCACATTGAGTCTAATTTCTCGGTTTTCTGTGAAGTGCCAGCATTTTCCAGTATGTGGTTAACATGGCGTGTCCACTTCTGTCCTTCAACTTCCACGACATACATTACGTTCCCTTGTCTCTTAAGTATGCATCCACTGGTCCATTGTGGAGGTGAATATCGGAAATCACGGACGTATACTTTTTGATTTCTTTGGAAAATTCTGCGTTTCGCCCCATGATGGCGATCAAATTGGTTTTCCATCTTTCTGTTTCTTTTTCTGATGTCTATTTGCTGTGGTTTCATGGCATCGAGGGCAGTTTTTACTTTTCTACCAAACATAATTTCTGCTGGAGACATTTGATTTGGTGTTGATGGGTTTGGAGTTGTTCTATAGACCAAGAGAAAATCATCAAGAATCTCCTCTATTTTCCCCTCCCCTTTTGCCTTCAGTAGCGCTCTTTTGAAGGTATCTACAAACCTTTCGGCCTGACCATTCGATTGTGGATGGTACGGAGGTGAACGAACATGTTTGACTCCAAACCTCTTGCAGAAATCTGAGAAGATGGAAGAAATAAACTGAGTGCCGTTATCTGTCACGAGAACATCTGGAACTCCAAAACGGGAGAATAACTGCCGTAGCTTCATGATAGTCTGTTGCGAAGTGATTTGATTTATAGGAAAAATCTCCGGCCATTTTGAATAAGCATCAACACAAACGAGGAAGTACGTACCCTGGAATGGGCCAGCAAAATCAACATGTATACGCGACCAAGGTTCTTCTGGAGATGGCCAGGAATGTAGTTCAGCTTTTCGTGGACACTTAGAAAACTCAGCACATTTTCTGCACGCACGCACGAAATCTTCGATGTGTTCATCGATATTAGGCCAATATACATAACTCCGAGCAATAGCTTTCATTCTTCCAGTACCTGGATGGGCTGTATGCAGTTGTTTCAGGACGAGTGAGCGTAAGTTATACGGAACCACTACGCGATCAGCAACCATAATACAGTCATTTACGATGGATAAAGATTGGCGTCGTTGATAATACTGTTTCAGTTCATGAGATGTTATACGTGGGGGCCAACCACGCTGGATAAATGTAGATACTCGTCTCAAGATAGGATCGCGGCGAGTGTGTTCAGCGATTTGAGTAGCTGTCACTGGAAGAATTTGTCGAAGATGATTTATGTAAGATACGGACGACAATTGAGAGGAAGCAGAAGACTTTGATGTAGACATAACATTTGAAAGAAGTACATGAGATTCCGAAGTTTCACTAGCGCATACTTTGTCTGAAGTATTCGATTTGGAAATTTTATGAGAAGGCAATGAATCGGCGGTATTAGATTTGACATGGTGAGAACACATAACATTTGAATTGTTTGATTCAGAAAGATCATAAGAACATGTTTCATCAGAAGCATTTAATTCGTTAATATCCAGAGAGGATGATTCGTCGGAGGCATTTGATTTAGAAATATCATTAGGGATTTGGATAGACTCATAGGAAACATTTTGAGAACATACCTCATCTAATAATTTATTCAAAGTATCAACATGTGCAATCCAATCTAATCCCAATAGATCTAAATCGTGTCGATTTGTTAGATAACAAACATCTGTAAATTTACTTCCCATAAGTTGAACATTGCATAGAACCTCTCCTGTCAACTTTACTATGTCTCCTGACGCATTTCGGGCGACATGTTCGGTCGGTCGGATGGATGGGCATCCTAACTTGTGCCATGTGTTCTTTGAAATCAACGTGACATCAGAAGCAGTGTCCAACTGAAGTCGTATAAGTTTTTCATTTACTAATAAATTTACAAATTTCCGCCTATTTTTAAATCCAACTTTAAAGGTTGCGAACGTGGTTTTAACTTGACTGTTTGATCGTTGCTTTGAATTCTCACTACGATGTTTAGTCTTGCGTTTATTTAACGAACAATGACCTTCTTTGTGGCCAATGCGATGGCATTTGCGGCATTTATGATTCTTAAACGGACAGAATTTTGCAAAATGCCATGCTCCGCAGAACCAGCATGGTGATGGGGGGTTGGCAGGTTGTTTC